CTTTTGTTTGGCTGGAAGCTACAGGTTTGGGTTTAATTTCAGACCTGAAGGGTAGCTAGGGGCCGGCCATAGTCTCAGTGGTTCCACTAGGCTCTTATCAGACCAGCAAACCTGGTCCCCCCTTTTTTTTTTTTCAAATGATTTTGAGTTTTGTTCTACATTGTTCTCCCACTCTATCCAGGATCTCCTACATAGATGCCCCTCCGAGTGGTTGACAGTGGTAGCCAGAAACCATCTAGTTCTGTCAGTTACCTGGTTTTGTGGTTCTATTTTGAAATTATGTATCATATATGTCTACTTTTCTCCATCCCTACTGCCCCAATCCTGATCCAGGCATGCATCCTGAAGCTCCTGGACTACTCAAACACCATCTTAGGGAGCCTTCTCCATCCTCTGATCCCTCTCCAATATATTCTCTACGCTGCAGTTTAAAAAAAAAAAAAAATCATAGCAACCTTTTTGGGTTTCTGAGGTGGCAAATCTTCACAAAAGTAGATTACACCATCTTCTTTCTGCAGGGTGGCTGATGGGTTTGAACCACCAACCTTAGCAATCAAATGCCTAAGGCACTGTGCCACCAGAGTTCTTTACGCTGGGACTTGATGGCAGTAGGTTTTTTTTTAACTGTACCGTCTTCAGTTCCTTAGACATGCTGCACTGGTGATTCTGGTTTCTGCAGGTCTCATTCCCATTGCTTGAAACACTTTCATACTTCGTCTAGCTCATTCTTAATTTTCAAATGTCAGCTTTAAATATTGGTTAGTTTTGGTCTAGCATCTTAAAATGGTGCTTTCCTGACCCTTTATTAATAGGCCCTCACATCCTCTTCATCGTCTTTTGTAAGCAGAACCATATTTTTCTGGTTTATTGCAGTCTTCAGAGCCTAGTATAGTGCCTCACACATAATAAGTACTTAATAAGTATTTGCTGAATTTAACCGATAGAATGCCTAAGGATTTTAACTTGGGAAATGGCATTATGTAAGTTGATTCTAATCATAGCAGTTATGTAGTTTAGAAGAGCAGAATGCCTTTGACACTTATTTCTGTCTGCTTCTCTTCTGTGTAGGTGAGGATGGTGGAACATGGTTTCTTGATCTTAAAAACAAAGGTGGAATTGTCGGGTATGGAGAGCCCACTAACCGGGCAGATGTGGTGATGAGCATGTCTACTGAAGATTTTGTAAAAATGTTTTCTGGTGAGTTTTCAATTTTACCAGCTTCCTTATTTAAGGAAAATGTAGTTCTGACCTTTTGCTTTATCCCTTTCCACATAATCAAGGTTTACCAATGTGTGTAGCAGTGGCATCTTAGCAACTATTGATGTTGCAGGACGTGCCGTCTTGGGAAGGCTGTTCTTACTGTTGGCCCTCCTGCTGCCTTTACCTCATCCCACAAACGAGGAATAGATGTCAGATTCCCTTTTTGCATTACTGAGAAGCCAGTAAGATAATGTTGAGAACAGACAGGACTTGTAGGTGGGCTTCATTTTACTAAGAGATCACATTTCCCATAAGAACTTCGGTTACCAGAGGTGCTGAACTCAGCTGCAGCTCATTCATTGAGGTTAAGGGCATGCCTTGGTCTTGCCAACCTCACGGCCATCGAGTTGATTCTGCCTCATAGTGACCCCAACTGGGTTTCCGAGGCTGTAAATCTTTATGGAAGTAGATTGCCCGATCTTCCTCCCTCGGAGCAGCTAGTGGCTTTGAACTGTTGACCTTCTACTTAGCAGCCAAATGTCTTACCAGCTATATCACCAGAGCTCCTCAGTCTTGCCAGCTGCTGTAAAGAGAGACAGATACTAGGCCTGTGCCGTGGCCCAGTGACTGTCATCTATGTGGAATCCCTAAACCAGAGACTCTTTTACATGATTCTCTATTCTGCCCATGGACCTGTAGCTGTGCCAGAAAAAAAATAAATAAGGGTATTTTCTCTTATTTAAGTAGTGC